GCTGACTGCTGTGCGCTTTCATTATAAACTGTCGGCATTGTTAGTTGATAGCAAAGTGAGTTTGATAATGGAAGGGATGAAATCCCTGAAGTCAGTGAAGCCAAAACTCCTGCTAACTTTGGTGGAGTCCAGATTGTGTCCAAGATGTTTGAAGTCTGCTAGGACAAAAATCTATACACTCTGTTGAAATAAAAGAGCTAACGTTACGAGTGCAGTCTGCTATTGGCTTTAAAAGAAGGGAGAACCAGTACGAAACAGATATGGTCTGAAAGTAATTTATGATCTATCAGTTTTCCTTTCACAGGGCTCTTGGCTCCTCATACCCTCTGTCAAAGCTAGTCTTCTGCTGTTTAAAAAACCGCAAGCCAACATGTTTCATTTGTCTGGGGCAGGGACAAATTTCTAACTCTTGATCAGGCAGGACAATTACAATTGGTGGGATGAAAAAAAAGGCTTTTAAAATGAAAAGACTTACAAAAACATATCTACATGAAATAGTAGGAATGTCTATTAAAAACATACTAAGGTTATCAGCACTGTTATTTTTTCAGGATTCAGTATATGCTATTTGAAATCTCGTTAGGATGCAATTTGGCATATCAATTGATAGGCTAGACGGAAGTATTTTTGTATGTGTTGAAATAAAAGAAAAAAAAATACCCCTGCAGTTTTCATCTTCAGGAAGCATCACAATGTCATTCAGACCCTTTGCAGGGCTTCAGTTTACAAGTGCAAGATTTTCTTTTTTAAATCTAAACCAACTTAACTTAAAAATAGAGGTCTGCCAATATAATTAGCAGTTTCCTACATCCCTTCTCTTCTTACAACTCTGACTGAAATCAGGAAAGCTCTGAGTGCAGAGAAGCAGGACAGATCATTTCTGAAAGGGGACTTAATCCGCTGCTGGTAATTCAGTTTATTTTTGAAATGCCAAAGCGGTCAGCGCAGACAATTAGTGACAGAACACACATTAGTTCAGCATTGTGCTGTGTTTGCCGTAAAGGAAACCTATCATAACAGTGGTTGTTACAAGGAAAGATGATGCATCACAACACATTTCAATGCAATCAAGACTCCCATTTATATGCATATGAGGGCCATGTGTCCTCAGTTTTCAACAATGGGTGAAAAGGTTGGTTGAAATCACTTCCACTGTACAGCCTGAACAAAGTGGAGGGAAAAAATTAATGAACACCACACTACAGCTTTTGTTTGTTCCTTGGTATTGATATATCAGTGAGCTCAAAAGAGCAGCTGAGTTTACATACCATAACATGAAACCAAACAGTATCAAGGTAAAATGAGGGCAAGTCTGTGCTGCCCTGGAGAGGGCTCTAGCAGGATTTCGGCTTCCATGCTGCCATCCCTCTACAAGCTCCTCTGTGTATAGGGGGTGTGAATGGGCTGGCTCATACTTTGGGGTCCAGCAGTGTAGGCCAGTACAGAGGGATCAAAGTCATGATCTGCCCCCTCCCTGTTTCACAGTAGCTTGCATGGATTGACTTTGGTGGACTTTGGATCAGGCCCAGAAAGAGCTGTTGTCCTGCTCAAGAACTTCTGCTGCTTTTTGCCCTGGCATAGGGAGTGCAGTTAGGGCCAAGGCTCCTATTCCTTCTATCCTGGCTTCTCCAGGATCAGGGGCAATTTGACCTGGTATATCTCTAGTGCGGAACATGCTGAAGGCCTGTGTGTTTCTATGGGCTTCCTAACAGAACTCCTATAGCACTTCTGCCAAATGCCACTTGATAGAACCAGTTGCTTTATCAAAGACTTAGGCAATATTTCAGTAATTGGTTCTTGACGACATCCAAAATGTTGTGGTGATAGAGCCAGTCTTCGAGGCTTTGTACCAAGCATTAGCTATATAGCTTGTGATCCTACCATTCCAAATGTGTAAAGCACAATAGGGCCCACCCCGCACCTCTTGCAGCCATGGGACTTTTTTGGTCAAGGCAAAGGAAATCACATAAAGAAAAACTACAGAGCACCTGCAGCTATTTCACACGGTAACATGCCATTCACTCATTATTTCAACATTTAGTAAGTCAGCAACTCAGCCTCATCTTGGGCTGATCAGTCTATAACTTACTATTACTTTTCAAGGGCATGGGCACCGTTTCACTTCTGGGGGGAAAAAAAGTGTTGGGGGTGGAGAGAGTTAGATTTAAATGGATTTGTCTTAAAAAGTGGGGGGGAAAGTGTTGCTTAAACAATTATTCAGTGGCGTCAATATTGGTATCAGATTTATTTGTGGGAGTTAAAAGCTGGCTTCGCTTAAACGCATTTCAGTCTTGGATCAAATGACGCCAACCTAGTCTCTTGTGCACTGCGATCCACATAAGAAAGCTCCTGCATCATTTGTCACCATTGGCAGTATCTGCTCAAGAAACAACACAACTTGGGGATCAGGTTTGAGGTACGTTAGCATAGCTGTGCAGGGAGGCACACAGAACTGGTCTGCCCTCCCATTGCCCCTGCTGGACCCTGGATTCTCAGGAGCCATAAACATTTGCTTAAAATACAGAAATAACTCAGTGAAGTTCAAAATCACCCAGGCCTCTGCTTCACTGTGCCATTCAGGAATTGTTAGAGCACCTTTTTAATTTCTGGCAGTGATTACTTACAGTATCACCACAATAGTTACCATGTATTTTCTCTGAAGTTGTGACTGTCCACATGTTAATTAGGCTTCTTAACGACCACTGCAATATTATTTTATGCATGTCATAAAAGGAGTATTTTTTAAATCTAGAACTTTATGTCACCCTATTATTTTGAATGTGCTACTTGGCTTTTGGCTTAATTTAGGGAAGAAACGAGATTAAAACTGAGGATAATGGCAGGCAAAATGAAACCTCTGGTTTTATACCAGACCAGTATAACCTTGTTGACTTCATGAGGGTGTTTCTGAGTTATGCAAAATCAGGCCAAAACAGCCTGTGATTTTGCAGTACTTAGTTGAAATCCTTTTTGAAGCCTGAATTCCCCAGAAAAGATGATTGCAGGATTTCACTGAAAGTTCTAATATGTCACAATTCAAATGTCAACATGGTGTTGGAAAGGAAGCTAATAAGTTAAACCTTTGAGAGCTGCCAAAAAAGAGGTGTTTCAAATTGCTGAGAGAAGTCCATTGTTTTGTAAAGGGAAATAGAATTCCAGAATGAAACATGCTACTTGTAAACATTTATCTAAAGGATAAAAGAAAAGAAAAACCAAATCTAAACAAGAAAACCCAAGTGACGGTTTGACCAGAGTAACTCTTAGCAGGGAGGAAAAGGGAGTTGTAATCTTGACAGATTGGGAGGGGAAGCTATGTACGAGCTCCTACTCTTGGCTTTTACTAGGAAAATGCACAGCAAACAGTAGGCTGTAATGTGTGTACATTATGACATGTGTTTTCCTTAGGACCTTTTTGTGTCTTGGGAGAGTGGGATGACCTCAGCTTCTCTGACAAAAAACGCTTGAGCCCCATTTATTCTTCTCCTGTTTATTGCAACATAACTTTGCTGTTTGCAGACTTCAGGTGGTGGAGCTGCTGTTGTCAAAGCAAACTACAGAACTATATGAAAAAAGGAGGAGCAGAAGAAGAAAAGAAAAATCAGAGGGAATGCTCTTCATTACGTTATTTTTAGATATTTAGCACATATCTGTGGTCAAGGCCACTTAGAAAAAAATATACAATTGGGTTTTAGGGCCACCTACTGGTGGACACGGATAACTGCATGCATGCTAAATCTTGTATTTGTGTAATTGCAACATGTCCCTGTAGAAAAAATGCATTTAACCTGGCTCATTACAAGCAGATTCGTTTGGTTTTTAAATGAATGGAACTAACACTTGCCCTCCTCTCAACACTGTAAAGTGAGTTCAGAGAGTGAGTAGTTTTAGGAGCAGGGATTTTAAGAATAGGCTAGCGCAAGATAAGATATTTACCCCATTGCCAGCCTCACAAAGTCTCATTTTCAAGTGCTTGGGCTTAACAAAGTCCCGGTGAGTTACTGATATTTATTTGAGTTACTTCAAAATGATGCATCATGCATCACCTCATTTCTTAGTGTTCTGCGCCTTTCCTGCAGAAGCAAGAGGGTCCAGGCAGACTGTGTTCATTTCTCATGAAGTCCCAACAATTGAGTCCTTGCAGATCCTCAGTTTCATAGAGAAGTTTCCTCCAGGATATCCAAAACTAGGTGGGTAGGCAGCCATGTTAGATCCTGTGCACTAAATTGCTTTTCCTCTTTATTTTTGCCTGATAATCACAGAGCCCAACTGTCAGATGTTGTAAGGTTTTCCTGTAGCAGTGACATCTAACTTTATGACAGCCTTCACAGGCAGTAGGTTTATCACCAGCTGCATATGCTGCTTTGGCTGTTGGTGGGCTTCTTGGGCTGCTTTCTCATCCTAGGTACATTTTTCCTTGATTCATATTGGAAACACAGAGATAATCTGCATAACATTGGTCTGTACCAGTTTCTTAAAACATGCCATTGCAGGATCTCTCTCTGGATTAGAAACGGCATTGCCTGAAGTTCACGCGCTAGCCTGGATTATCCTTTTGCACTTGTTCTCAACTGTTGCAACTTCAGTGACGTTATCAGACCTTGTGTGTATAATTAGGACGTAGGTTTGAAAAGGCTGCATTATGGTCTACTCATAGCTTATTGATAAACCATCTGGGAATTTGATTTATTGATGATTTACAGGTACAGAGTGTATTATCAGAAGAAGTATGAACTGAGAGCAGCATTCACAGCCCTCTGCTCACCATCCTGTAGCTCATTTCTCAGCATACTTTATTGGAAGTAGTATCTTTTCATCACAGATACCAGAGAATAAATGGCCTGGGACCAGATTCTTCCTGAGGATAAACTGGCGTCATTCTAGTGACTTATTGAATTTTTCCCATTTGGACTAGCAGAGGCTCTCTTAAGTCTGGCAGTGCCCACCAGCTTTGTTTTTGTACTATTGCTTCTTCTGGTATTGACTCTGATTCTGTTTTTCAGATATTCTACAGAGTTGTAGCAGACATTGAACCAGGAGAGGAGCTGTTACTGTTCATGAAGAGTGAAGATTATTCACATGACACAATGGCTCCTGATATTCATGGTTAGCAACTTTTTACTGCAGATTATCTAGTTTGATCCAAAATGACCACTGAAGCTAGATGTGTTGGACATATTTCTTTTCTCTCACCCTGGTGGAGTCCTCTTGAATGCAGTGAGATTCTTGCAACATAGCTAATTAAGGGAAATCTGAGCCATAAGAAATGTTATCTAATCTCCTTACTTATTTAATTCTCTGCAACTCCTACAGTAGCACCGCATAGTTTTTAACATTGAAACCTGACAACATTGAACATACCATTGAACATTATTAACACTGAAGATATTAATCTCGCAAAGTGTTTTACTTTGTCTGTGACAAAGATAATGTTCTTATTGTTACTGGCACTTAACTGCTAGCTTTTCTACCTTTAAATATTTTCAAGGATAGATATGAAGAGACCCTACAATACATTATGAAAGAATAAGTGTGAATACATCAAGGTCTGAAATCGTATATAGAGGATTTTCTGCCATTTATAAACTTCTGGGGTACATGATTCTCCTTATTGTGAATTGTTTCCTGAGAGTTGCTAAAGCACCTGGTCTACAAACTTTTTTAAGGTGTTGTGCTGCTTTGGAGAGTGACTGCAGAAATAACATCATGGAGTTGCGTATTTATTGTCTTTCAATCACACTGGCTCCAACTTGCTTCATTTACAAGCTATTTATACCCTCTCTTTTTGTCCACAGTTACAACTTTGCAACCCTGCTGTGTTCAGGTTCTATGGTCACTTATTACAGTAGGAGTCCAGCCTCATCGTCTGTAATTGGGGCTGGACAGGTGTACTGAGAGCAGAATTAAGCTTTGTAACTTGTACGTAGTAAATAACTTTGTGGATGATGTACAAGGAGGAATATAGTGCTGCTCATTATGGCTTAGCTGTGTTGGTTCTGCAGGGCTAACAGAGCCCTTTTTTCACTCGGCTAAGCTGATCTTACCCTATTCACAATCAAAGTGCAAATCTAATGATTTAGAAGGTGCCTTTTCTAAAACCATTGCTTTTCAGAATAAAACCACTTCTTAACTCACTTGTTAATTATTTATTCTAACTACCCATACTGTATCTAAAATGCTTAAGTAGTCTCCACATCCTGCACATTATAGGGCCTCCAGGAGTGCTTAAATGTGTTATAAAGGAAATAGTTTTATCCTGCGTCTTGCACTGTGAAGAGCTGTATGGACATTACAACTGAGGCTCAGAGCAGGGGTGCACCTATTATTTAACTATGGGGTGAAGGCTGAGTCAGGTTGGACTGAAGCCTGTGGGCAGGTACACTAGCGCTTGTACAGATCCTTAAACACCGAAGTTATTTTATACTGGCTTCCCCAAAGAAGTGGGAGAAAGAGAATTCCATATTGACATAATCCTTACTACCTCCAAAACTGCTGAAGAAATTTCTTCCCCTGTTCAATTAAAAAACTGGCAAGGCTATTCTGTTCTGCGGTAGTTTTGTTAAGTCAGTGCTCAAAACGTCAGCCTTTTACAGTGTAGCATTTTCCACGGGTTTCCATGTGGTTAGAGTATTATTGTATAAACTGCCTCTCTGAAATACTCTGAACCTGCACACAAATGCATGTCCTCCAAATCTGAGCATACTCATTTTTCATTTGGCTAATTTATATGTAGCAGTAGCCTGCTTCTCACTTAGCCCAAACCCTTGGTGGGTCCCGTGGGAGTTTTACTTGGATAGGAACCACAGTATCAGATGCTTATAAGGCATTTTCTTTGAGTTTCCTAAACTTTCTTTCTGCAAAGTGTTTAATTGTATGCATAACACTAAGCCAGGAAGTATACAGCGACTTCAGGCAGGCTACTCCTGTGCATAGTAAGTACCATGGTGAATCAAAACTCACATACCTATTACATCTGTGGTATTGACAGGACTGAAATAGAATTAGGACATGTGAGCTGTTTTAAAGACAGTGTTCAAATTATCAAATTCTGTGTGAAGGATCTTGCTTCCCAAGTTGATAGTTTAGGAGATGAGAATATGGAGTACTATTCATTTTGTGGGTGAAGCAACTCAAGAGTGATCGTGCTCATTTGCTTTACTGTGACCCTATTCACATTGAAATCGATGGTATTATTGTGACCCCATTCACATTGAAATCCATGGTATAACTCCCATGAGTTAAGGTGACTAAGACCATATTGTTAAACAGAGGCTGGGAGGAAAAAATCCTGCTTGAAATGTTTAAAAGGTCTTTAAAACCTCCAAAACTATCTTCAGGGGCACTTTTGATGAGGTGTTTGTGCCTGAGTTAGTTGATACCACACTCCAAGAAAGCCCACCTCTGCCTAGTCCTACTGCCTAGTCAATACTGGTATTGCTTCCATCGTAATAGCTGAGCACACTGGCTGGTGTCCTTTTTAAATCTTAGGATCAGACATCAGTGAAAACAACAATCCTTATAAGATCATACCGCACTATTGGAAAATTAGAGCATCCTAACTTGTCCTAGTTTTTTCTCAGGTTCTTTCTTTTTCTCTGAATAGCCGTTCATTTTACTGCACTGTGGAGGGACTGTTGAGCAATAGGACTTATCAATATGTCTGAGGACGTATATTACTGTAACATGTCTCCTACAACCTGTAACCAAATTGCCTTCCAGAGGAGCGTCAGTATCGTTGTGAGGATTGTGATCAGCTGTTTGAGTCCAAGGCAGAACTAGTAGACCATCAGAAATTCCCATGCAGCACACCTCACTCAGCGTTTTCTATGGTGGAAGAGGACTTTCAGAAAAAGCTTGACAATGAGAATGACCTCCGGGACATGCATGAAATCCAAGAATGTAAAGAGTGTGATCAAGTGTTTCCAGACTTACAAAGGTAGGAATAGCCACTTGAAATCCTACACTTATTGCAGCCCCAGTTCTGCAGTGACTCCAGTAGGATTGCACAGGGTATAAGTGCTGAATCTGACTCCATAGTATTATAAAACAAAATAAATATGAAAAAAGAATCAGATTTTTGTGTTCTTTTGTGGCTTAGGTCTGACTGATCAGAAAGTTACTTATGTTACCATTATTATGTGTCAGCCATGCAGTGACTGAGATCCTATCTTGCACCCTTTACCTGTGAGAAAAATGGGCCCTGAATTTGGGCAGGTCCTCAGCTGGTGTGAATTGGTATAGCACCATTGAGATGGTGATTCACATAAGCCAAGGACTACTTTGCCTCGTTATTTGCCTGGACTGGGTAGAAAGCCTGCAGAATGGTGTAGTGCTCAGAGCTGACACCAGGGCTCTCTGCCCGAGTTAGAAGTGTTAGATAAAGTTTAGTGAGTCCAAACTTGCTGTTGTACGTCTGCTATGCTCTAAATCATTACATAGAGAACAAATCACTTTACAGCAACACAAAGCTGCAAGTGATTCAAGAAACCCTTGACATAAGCTACTGGCAATTATCCTTCATCCAATGACAAAAAACAACAACCAGTGGCTGTGGCTTAAATGAGAAAAGTCTTAGCCTGTGGACCCAGTTCAATATTTTCACTTTGACCGATTTAGATTTTAAAAGCAACAACGTTATGGTATATTCCAAATAACAAAGAGTAGAGACAATTCACTGTGATGCAGGGAAAGCAGCACTTTTGCCCAGCATGTTGGTCCCACTTCTGAAAAATGTTGGGCACCCTTAATTCCATTAGCAGTCACCGGTGCTGAAGTATCAGCATTTGTAGGGTTTGCCCCCTCTCTCTCACCCATCATTGTTGTAGATATAGACATACGTGCCTCTTGAAAATGTGTATTTGTAAGGCCATAAATATTTAGTACAAATATTACATGGGGTAAATCATTTGCACATTTCCTGTCACTGTAATTTGCTGCAGCTACTTAAAATAATGTACTGCAGGACAGAGTATGTTGGAACGCCGCAGATTATTTCAAGGTCTGGAGAATGATCAGTAACTCCTGCAACAGCCTCCTCAAAACTGCACATCTGTGTGTCTGCTCTTGATACTCAATGCGTCCATGTTGGAAGAGAAAGTTGGCCTCAGCTACTGACGTTCAATTATAAAGCCAATGCTTCTGAATAACAAAATCATGGACCAGATCCTCAGCTAGGGAAATCAGTGCAGCTCTTTTAAGGACAGAACCAGGAGAGGACCTGGACTCACATCTTTTGCTTTCGCCCAGACTGAACTGTCACTGCATTCAGCCTTTTTGTCTCTACCATGCAAAAAGAATGACATCGATCATTCACTGGTAGCAAGAAGCAGCAGCATGTTTGGTTGTGCTGTTTACAATCAGTTGCACTTTAACATTTACTCCTTTCCATTTTTATCTCTGGGGCTTTAAAGAGACATTGTCAAATGAAGCAGATAACTGTATCGGGCTACATCTCAGCACAGCTGATCTTCATCGTTGGGTGAAACAGGCATTGCCCATTGTTCCACAAGTCAGGCCTCTGCTACTCCCGGGACTTCAGGGTCCCGATCCCATGGGACAACACTTGGAGCATGCCTCTGGCAGTGGGGAAACCTGCGCCCCATATTAGATAGATTACAAATCCTTCATCAGTTTATATATCTCTCCACAAAGAACATGCATATTTAATGAACTAGATCTAATACAGACAATGTTTCCATTGACCTGGAGTGTTGACAGTGAGAGTCTTGCAGTTACATACACCATAGGAATGATCACTTCAGGCCTGATTTTGCAAGTTGCCGTTTCCTCTCAGGAGTGTTGAGTGTCCTCTATAGGTTGAGTGGAGGGTGCTCAGGATTATGTAGGAGGTGCTCATCACCTCATATGACTTTGTTCTTATGCTCCTACAAAATTAATGCTGTCACCCTGAAAATTAAAAATAGCACTCTATTGTTCCATACACACCAGTTCATGCCCAGTCACAGTGCATTTGCGTATATATATTCATTCACTGAGTAATATTAAGCAGAATTTGGCCCCAGTTCACATAATTTTCAGTGTAAGTGACTGAGTCAAAGTGAATGATGGATCTTGGTAAGGTCAATAAGCTTGCAACAGTGAAACCAGAAACAGGGTTCCAGTGTTTCTGCATGTAGTGAATTATCTTTGCTACATTTGAATTTAAGGACAATATCTAATGTATGGGAGCCCTTGAATAAATATTAATGTAGCTTAAAATATTAAGGATTCAAGACAACGGCTGAAAACAAAGAATGACTTATCACAAATAGATATGTCTGTTGGGAGAAGCAGTGAAAAATGAGGGTAAATGCAGTCAATCTCAGAAACACTTCAGAAGAACATTCTATATAACAGGGCTACACAATATGTGCTTTGGGATATGTGTAATTAAGCAAGAAATACTGTGTAGGAACATTCAGATCTGTGCGTCAAGATAAGAAAGAAAGAGTGAATTCATGGAGAAATATTAAAGGAAGAAGTCACAGCCGTTTTCTTAGAGAATGAAACAGGAGCCCGCTATGGTTAAATTGAACTGAATTGTAATGAAGTGGACTGAGCATAAAAGTGCCAGATGAGACTCTAGAACCATGAGTGGATTACAAGCCCCGCAACTCTTTGTCCAAGTTGCTCAAACTCAATAGGACATTGTATGAAAAGGGACTGAAGAATTGGGTGCCATACTGGTGGAGGCACGTTCTCTGGCATGTTTAGACACTAAAGTCTTTCCTGAGCATCTATATACTACACTACATAGATATAGTATATTTTTTCTAACTTTTCATAAAATAAGTGCATGAGAGAAGGTTTTACCAGGTGATCGGATGTAAGTGGTATTTAAAAATGTTCTTCCCTTATTTCCATCAATAACTGAAAGTCACGGAAAAGACCGCCAACAAAATTATTAAGGCCTAGGGCTACTGACTCCTTAGCAAATACTGTCAGTATGGCTACAGGTAACTAGGGGGGGAACTTGATATTAGTTTGCAGTACATAAGGGCCTGATTCTGATTTTACTTGCATTATTTTGTACGCCTTCAGTGGAGTTATTTAGTGGTACAGATACAACTAGAGGCAATATTAGAATCAAAAAAAGATGGGGATATTCACACTGCTAGGAAACCCCAACCCCCAACCCCCAAAACCTACCTGAATATGCTACTTGTAAGTCTCTGAAATAGTTATCCAAAGAAAGTGCTGGAAGTCTGCTTCCTTGGGACATTGAAAAGTAGCTGGAGAAAGCACTAGAAGATGCCTTGTTGCATCATGGATGAGATATTGCGGGCCTAATCCTCTCCAGATCAGGCTTGTGGGCCTCTCCCCTCTGCTTTCTGTAATTCTGTTATCCATTGTCTCTCCCCTCCTTCCACTTTCACTTGTAAACTGGGCTATCAATCACAAATAAAACTGGGTTCTTGTTCAGATGTGGTTGAGACATCTCTGAGACTGTTTTTGTCTTCACAGCCTGGAGAAACACATGCTGTCGCACAGTGAGGAGAGGGAATACAAGTGTGACCAATGCCCCAAGGCATTTAACTGGAAGTCAAACTTGATACGTCATCAGATGTCACATGACAGTGGAAAGCACTATGAGTGTGAAAACTGTGCCAAGGTACAGTGAATTTGTAGGATATTTGACCTTTCTCTGTATGTTTTATGAGATACAAAGGCAACTCTTGAATAGGGAAACAGACTTAGGCAGTACTAAATAGCAGCTCACACTAATGCTTCCCTGATTGCCCCATTGGCCTCTGTAGAATTTAAGTGTTGTAAATGCTTCAGCCCAGCCCTGATTGCACTGATAAACTGGTAGGGACAGAAGTTCTCTAAGGTGCTTCACTTTGGAGCACCTTCATCTGAAACCTCATTAGGTGAGGGTAATATGTTACATGATCAGCCACTTTTAAAGCTCTTTGCAGCTGTGCATGTGTGTCACGTAATAGCTATAGAACGCTTTCAGGGGGCCAGTCGTGCAACAAATGTCACTTCTGTCAGCGCCCTTAATTTCAAGAGGAGGTGTGTGTACTTCAGCTAGTGATTGGGCTGCCACTGAAGCCTATTGATAACCATTTAAATGTCAAGTTATTAACTATTTTACTTGCAAACATTTTAGCAGAAACAACCATCTGTTCTGGAAATGTGGGTGCAATCTGTTCTCCACCCAGACAGACCCAGTCACAGGAAACTAGAAATATGTTTGGAAAGGTGAACCTTTAGCTCAGTATAGTCTGTCGGAAGAACTGGCATATATTACAAATAAACTACAAGGGGCAAGAATTCCCACTGGAGATGCAGGGGTGGAGTGATGCTTCATCACATTCTCTGGACCAGATGGGGCGCACCTAGCTCAGCCATACAGCGTAGCAAGGCACCCCCTTCATTCCTTTTTCTGTCTCCCCACATCACAGGAAGAAGCATAGGAGGGATATCGGAAATCAGATTCCATTGGGAGGCTGTATTTCCATCCTGTGCAGAATGGGCCACAGGGGTCAAGTAGGGAGCAAGCAGAGAGCCTTGGTTCTGCCCTTGCAACACACCAAGTAGCCTAGCAGCAGCAGGGCCGCATCTGGTAGCCCAACACAGTTTACTCCCTCCCAGAGCAGCAGAGAAAACCAGCAGGAAGATTCTGACTGTATGACATAGTTCTCTCTCAAACTGCTCCAGGACCATTACAACAATATGCTGCTCTTTGCTTAGCACAGATGGAATAGTTGCAATCTCGTGTTATAATTCCTGTGCTACATTTAAAGGATTAAGCTCTTTGGAGCAAGGATGTTCCAATGTGATTGTATGGTCCCCAGCACAGTGGATCCCAACGCTCACCAGGACTGTAGAACACTACTGCAATATAAATGGCTAAGAAGAAGAAGCAGCAATGCTGGCCTGTTGGCCTCACTGATGTACACAAACACAACTCTTGTCTCCAGTCGAGCTATGTCCGAACTGAGGTTCTGGCCCATAACATAGATTATTCATAGAGAACTGTAGTTATAACATACTTATACCACACCAGGCCTGCAGGAAAATATTTTTCTCCTGCAATTCCATGGGTCGTATTTTTTGCACAGGTGGGTTTTCAAATCCAGTGCTCCTCTGTTACAGGCACTCACACCATAAAAGTGTTTCCAACTCCATCTTAAAACTGCTGAGGTTTTTGGTTCCCATCTCTCCCATGAGAAAGTTGTTCCAGAATGTCTTGTAGATAGAAACATCTTCAAATATCCAGCTTCAACTTCTTCATAGCCAGTTTATACCCATTTGTTCTTGTGTTAGTGATGATCCTGCACAATACTATGGAATTATTATTAGCTCCTCTATTGAAGTTTATGGGAGTTTTTTTTGCTTAAGATCAAGGTAGCAAGATTTGCCACAATATTTTTTATATTTCTGTAGTGAAACAAAGCTATATGCTGAAAATTAACCTTCAAGGTTGGGTTGGTGATCATGATTTCCAGGATGGAATGCACTTCTTGTTGTTGTAAAGCACTTCTCTTGCAGCAGTGTCTAAAGATTTAAACCACAGTGCGGCCTCATGTTGCCAGCTCTGAACAGCAGTCACTGCCCAAAAGAGGATTTGGTATGGAACAGAGAGAGTTTCATACCTAGTGTGATGTTTTGCAAGGTAATAAACATGGCATGTCTCACTTTAGGGGACAAAAGCTATGAATAGAACTGTTTAGTATACAACTAGTCCTGATAAATCTAAGGTCCAATTGAAAACTCCCATTGGTTTCCATATGGCAAGATCATAGCAACCAGGCAGATAGTTCATTTTACCCCTTAATGCCCCCCCTCCCACCAATATTGATTTTGAAACAGTCTTGTGTAATTGCTGATTTCCTCCTGGGTTAAAATTTCTTGGTTAATCAGTACTCATTTCCTAGCAGGTTTTCACGGACCCCAGCAACCTTCAGAGGCATATTCGTTCGCAGCACGTGGGGGCTCGTGCTCACGCTTGTCCCGAATGTGGCAAAACGTTTGCTACTTCTTCAGGCCTCAAACAGCATAAACACATCCACAGCAGTGTCAAACCCTTTATATGTAAGTCTACAGCTAAACATCTAAAGTTCCTTATCTGTTTCTTGTCAAAAAGTGGTGAAATCAGGAAACTGAGACACAGGTTCTGTTTCCTGTGAAACTGGTTCATTACAGTGGGAGGAGATTTGTACCGTCATTTACTGAACCAATACGGGTAATCCACTGTCCGATGCATAGAGTTGTTTTGTGTACTGCTCTTATCCAAGCAGGCACTGTGCATAATGATGCACCCGATGCTGCAAGAATATTTTTCTCCCTGCTGGATTCAAAGATCAGTGCAT